CTAACAGACTGGACAGTGCTATTCATCAGGCATGGTGTCAGATTCCTCGCATCACCTTTCAACATCTCGTGGAGTCAATGCCAAGAAGAATCGCCGCAGCATTGAAGGCAAAAGGGGGCCCAACGAAGTACTGATGGGGTGGTCATAATAATCCGGCCACTCATGTCCATATATATCCCATGTTCATAGGCTGTTAAATCGCACTGTTTACCCATATCTCTAAAAAAAATCACTTCTACTGTGGTGGTAAACAACCTACTTCCCTATTTATAGTGGTCTGGCCCTCTAGCAACTTCAGCATGAAATTATAGCTAATTTGCCTACAAACGTCAGGTGGTCATAAGAATCTGGTCACTGTGTGTGTGTGTGTGTGTGTGTATAGACTAGAGGCCTGATGCACAAAATTTGTGCAGGGAGGGTGGTGTCCCTCAGCCCGGCCTGCACCCTCTCCAATCTGGCACCCCCTTGGGGAAACCAGCAGTCAGACATCCCTCTCACAATCTGGGACTGCTGGCTCCTAACTGCTCGCCTGCCTGATTGCCCCTAACTGTTCCCCTGTCGGCCTGATCTCCCACAACTGCCCTCCCATGCTGCAACCTGACTCCTCCGCTCGAGGCAGCAGAGATGCCGGGACAGGCCTCCTCCACACTGCGCAGAGCTGCGGGACCCTCAGGTCTTACTGCACAGAGCGGCCGCGGGGCCCGACCTTCGCTGTGCATGTGGCCATCTTGGGGCGGCCATCTTGTGATGACATCACGTGCGAGGGCGTGAGGACCACCTAGGCTTTCATTATATAGGATGTTAGTAATCAGAAAACCTATTAGGGCCTCTCTGTGCATGTGTGTGCGCACACGCGGATGTTTGAGGGGATGTGGTATATTGGGTAGAGATCTTGCCATTTCATTAGCACATGTATAGGCGTTTCCTCTCAAGGTTGTCAGTTTCTCTAAAAATGGACCTCCTAATCTCCTGCCTCATCTAGAATTGGGAGCTTAGTCGGGGAAGGGGGCTGACAAAGATCTCACTCTTCAGCATGCAGAGTTTCATTTAACCCCATTATTTTCAGTGAAGGCTTCACTTGCTCTGTGCAATGTCCCCAGTGCTAGAGACTTGCTCATTTATTTATTGTCTCCAGACTTCAATTGTAAATCTTCAGTGCACTGTGTGGGGCAGGGATCTGGGAGGTCTTGTTACTCCTGGAAACTTTCAACCATCTTCCTGTTTTTAGCTCCTTACACCTTTGCCATCAGATATATCTGGTGCCCTCAGTTCTAAAACCTGTTAAGAGTTCTCTGGTGTGAATTGGCTTCTTGTCAGCTTCCCTCCCTGCTGGCAGAATGGAAAAACACTTAGCAGAGTGGAGAAAGAGGAAACCCAAGATAGTTATGCCTTGCCATCCACTTTCCATCTTTGAAAAATGTACAAACTTGTCTAATCTGCTTTCTAGTCTTCTGTGCCCTGTATTTCCTTCAGTTTTTATTTCTTAACTCTCATGTCAGGAGGGTTCAAGAAGATAGAGGTTCAGTCCCCATTTTTAACTGGAAGAAACCCTTACTGCCTTTTTCATTTGCCCTTCTCATTTCACTGTTGGTTTATTATGAGCTTCAAAGGAGGTTCTTTGGTTAAACCACTACTCAATTCATCCCTGTTTGTTAGCTTCTGCATGTTGACAAGTCTGTCTTTGCTCTATAACCACCTTGGGAACTCTCCAGCTTCTTTTTTGACAACCAGTTGCCTGTTATGTTGTAGGGGGCACAGTTCCCCCAGGCATACAAATGCTGGATTATATTTTCATTGCTTTTTTTGTGGGGGGAAGTTTTTATAGTTTATATGTGACTAAGCACACACATATTATTTTGTTTGGGAAATGAGCTTATCCTACTCCTTTTTCTTCGCCTGTGCACTATTATACTATTTCCTTTGTCTCATACATAATAAAATCATCAAGAGTGTGTTCTGTGGACTAGCAAGAAAGTAATTTATATATCTTTCTTTCTTAAAGAACACTAGAGGCCCGATGCACAAAATTCATGCACGGGTAGCGTTCTTAGGCCTGGCTGGTGATCAGGGTTGATCAGGGCCTTCTGGCTGCCAGCCGGGGCCTTCTTTCCCTGGTGCCAGCTGCTGGCTGGGGCTGTCTTTCGTTTGGTGCTGCCCCCTGGTGGTCAGTGAACGTCATAGCGAGCAGTCGAATCCTGGTCTCCCAAGGAGACAATTTGCATAGTAGTCTTCTATATATATAGATGATATATATTGTGCTTGTGGCTTTGTAAATGATTCAAGTTAGGCACCTGGTAATGCATTTTCTTTAAGGGCCAAATGAAAACATTCAATAATTTTTGCTTAATTACTATATTTTCATTAAACTCTTAAGATTAACGATACATGAACATAGTTGATTCAAGTTTTGCTAAGTTTACCTTCTCAAACCTTTTATGTTGGTTGCAAATTATATATTAAGCTCTTTTACAACACTGAAACATAGAAACGAAAGGAAAAAATAGATCTCAAAAGGTTAATAATTTCATTAACAAGGAATAGGATAGGTAGGTTAGAGACCTTATGTCATTTTGTATATGTAGTAGATAAGAGATACTGGGGCATTTCTTTGCCTATAGGGACACATGTCTTTCTTTTTTTAGATTGTTTTCTGTGGAACTGTATGGTTGACCTGCTTATTGCTTTTTCTGTGGGCTCCAAGTTTGTGTGTGTGTGTGTGTCCAGCAGTGAGGATAATCACTAGCATTGATTGATTGATTGATTTCATGGTCAGGTGAGCAGAGATATGGCAGGTATTTTAACAGCATCTTCTTTTCAGATAGGCTGCTGGTGAAGGTATGTGGTATTGAATCTGCCATGAACACTTCCACTATCTCTCTAGCTCCTAATTTCTTCATAGATCAGTCTGGATGTTACTTCCTCTAAAAGCCTTCCCTGATCACTCCACTTCTCCCAAATAGAGTAGATATGTCTGCTATGTATTTATATAGCATCCTGAACGCCTATCTTGCAGTTTATTTACCACCATCCCTCATTAGAGTAGGCTTCTGAAAGCAGATTGTGTCTGCATACATATTTATTCAAAATACTCAGTTTTTGAATGAATGAATGAATGGATGGATGGATGAATGACATGTGTAGCCAAAAATTGCATCTGTCTCGTTGCCCACTTTTGAAGACTGTCCTTCCGTTTGTGCTTCCTGCCATTAATTGAAAGGCCAGGTTTTTGGTCTAGAACTCTGCCTTTTAGTCAAAGAAAAGCACCAAACAAAAGTAGGTAATTTATTTGATTGAATACTACTCACTGAGTATAATATTCTGCTGTCAGTCTTCGCCTCATGTCTTAATCACCTGAAATCATGCTTTTGTATGTTGATAGGTTTTTGGTAATTAGGGGTAGTTTGCTTTCATTTATATGCTGTCTGTATGTTCTTGCAATGTTTTGCTGTAAAGTCAACATTAGAACTATGAGTTCTGCTTTATTGCTATGATAATGAATGTATGAAAAACTCATCAAAATTTAAACCAGTCTCTAAGTTTGTTTCTTCAGCCAGAGAAACCTGCCTACTGTCATTTAGAAAAAAAATAGCAGCTTTATTGAGATATAATTCATATACCATAAAATTCACCCTTTTAAATTTTGTAATTCATTGTTTTTTAGTATAGTCACAGAGTTGTGTAACCATCATCACTATATAATTTATCGTCCTCCAAAGATACACCATACTCATTAGTCTCTCCTCATTTTGCTTTATAACTCTATTTATTTGCTTATTCTCTATATTTCATATAAGGGGGATATTTATACATTTCATACAATTTATTAATTTCATACAATATGTGGCTTTTTTTGACTGGCTTCTCTCACTTTGTATGATGTTTGAAAGGTTTATTTGTGTAGTAACATATATCAGTACTTCATTCCTTTTTATGGCCAAATAATATTTTCATTGTAGCATATTTTGCTTATTCATGCATCAGATGATTGCCATTTGTATTCTTCCTACTTTTTGGCTATTATGGATAATAGTGCTGTGAACATTCATGTACATGTTTTTGTGTTGACATATGTTACTGACTTTACAAATGATTGGGAACTTCAAAATGTTATTCATGTATAACATACATACAGAAATGTGAATGCTCACCTAAATGAATATTTACAATGATATTTATTTGTTTACCCATGTAACAAGAACCAAGATCGTTAAAGAAACACTATCTGGATCATTAGGGACTTGTTGATGTTTGCTTCGGTTTAGGTTGCTTCATTTACTTGTATGCTCTGGTAGAGCTGAAGGCTTATCTTAACTGTAAGTCTGGAACATACGCTCAGTGGGTACCTGATGTCACAGCAGTGAAGTTGTTGAGATAATGGACTCTAGGGCCTTGGCTGCTTGAGTTCAAATCCTAGCCCAGCACTTACTAGCTTTGAGACCATGGGCAAGTTTACTTAACATCACTCTTCCCAAATTCCTCCTCTGTAAATGGGGATAAAACTACCTGGGGGCAGTAATATAAGTAGGTTGCTTAGAAAATTGCCCGATGATCATACTAAGTACTGTATATGTGTTACATAGTATTATTGTTATGGTTACTGTTATTGTGTGTCTTCACTAGAATATAAGCCCCCTCCCTTGTCTGACTTATTTGTCACTGTATTCTGAAAGGCTAGCACTGTGCCTGGCACATAATAGGTACTCAATAAATTTTTGAGGAAGGAAGGAAAGGATTTTAAATGATGAGTGGCAGAATTCCTAATTCTTTCCTGAAACCGCTTTTGACAGCACCCTCTTTCGTTTACAACAGCTTTTGGAGCTATTTGACAGCGAAGACCCCCGGGAACGGGACTACTTAAAAACAGTCTTACACAGAATTTATGGCAAGTTTCTTGGTCTTAGAGCATTTATCCGAAAACAGATTAACAATATTTTTCTAAGGTAAGTGGAGGGAGGGGGAAGAAGGAGAAGCAAAGTTGGTGGTTTTATAGAAGTATTAAGTAAACCTCAAATATTTGAATGTAGTGTACTGACTCTCTCTCTCCCTCTCTCTCTCTCTCTCTCTCTCTCTCTCTCTCTCTTTCTCTCTCTCTCTCTCTCTCGCTCTCTCCCTCCCTCCCTCTTGCTCTTTCTCTTTCTTAAAGGTTTGTTTATGAAACAGAACACTTCAATGGTGTAGCTGAACTGCTGGAAATATTAGGAAGGTAAGCACATTTTTAGCCAATTGCTAATCTCAGGTGAATATCGTTCTGTGAATTAGGTTCAGGTGGCGCAGGGAAATGCTGACCTAGATCTATTGCTGTATGTACATCTGATACTCTCATTTGTGCTTTAGCGTGCTTCCCAACTGACTCTCCAAAACGCGGTTTCCTGTTCCCCTTGTTCCACATTTAGGCATTGCCAATTCTGCTGGGACGACTGAAAGAGCTAGCATTTATTTCCCATTACGCAGACAGTACATCTGATTGCAGTCAGACCAGTTACCACAAAACATCTTATTCTTGTTAGTTTCTAGACTACCTGCCCTTTGCCAGATCTTTTGAAAGCAAGTTTATAATAAATCAGGAAGATTGCCATGTTCCAGGGACCCATGGACCCAGGTGTAGTTCTTGAGCAGCTGTTTCCTGGTGCAGTGGAACAAATTGGAAAGAGACAGCTGTTGTGTAGCTTTCTACACACAAGGGAGACTAATGTAACTGGACAATGTGATTACTTAGTCTCTCCTCCTAATATGAGGAGAAAAAGAAGGTGGAGTCACATGGTTTTCTCTGTAACTTCCTGGGCTGGGCTCTAGGGTATTCTTGGTCTGAGCAGAGATATCAGGGACAGGAAGGAATGTTGTCTAGAAATGGAAAAGGTCATAAGTGAGCAAGGCAGGCAATTATTTAGGGAAGGAAAAGAGGGAGGAAGAATAAAGAGTTGTTGATACAAAAGATTTGGGGACCATCCAACCAGGTTTCAGAGCACAGGAGCCTGTGCTGGGAGATCTGAAGCCAATTTTCTTCTCTTAAATTTCCTGCCTACTCAAATGTATTCTTTGAAGTAACTAAGAAATCTTGACTGCCCCTGGGGTGGTTTTTGGGTTGCTCTGGACCTGTCATAAACTGATTAAGATTTAACCCAATCTCACAAGAACAGTTTGTCTTAGTTTAGCTTGTTGAGGTAACATTGCTAATTCACGTCTCTTTCCTTCTTCCTAGTATTATCAATGGCTTTGCTTTACCTCTTAAGGCAGAACACAAACAGTTTCTGGTGAAAGTGTTGATCCCTTTACACACCGTCAGGAGCTTATCACTCTTCCATGCCCAGGTAGAATTTTGTACAACTACTTTTGGAAGCAAAGTAAAGTTTGCAAACCCAGTGTTTCTTTGATATTGATATGTGCTTATTTTGTTGTAACAAAGACATTTTTAAGTTTAAAATACCCCCCAAAGAAAATAAAAATGTGTGTGCGTGTGTTTTCAATGCATAGGAGACTCATGGGAATATTTTTCAAGTGAAAGGAGTATTTAGTTAGTCATCTCATTTTTCAGAGAATTTAGATGACTTGCCCAGTTCACAAAATTATATATTGAACATGTTGTGTATAGTAATATATGTGTGTGGGCTTTTCAGATTTAGATCTTTAGACATGTGTAATCATTTTTTAAAGTTTTTGAACATTTTGTCTCAGCCTTATTTTGCAATAGTCTGTTAAGTTGCCTTTTGCTCCCTCTTCTAGTTCACTCACCATATCTTTCTAACTTTCTACACACAAATAAATACTCAGAGTAAACAAATCAATATTTTCACATCTTTTTTATTTTTAGCCTCCATTACTTTAAAAAGTGTACCCTGGTCTATTCCCACTCTAATTCCCATGCTAACATTGTCTTGCATGGTAAGCATGTCACTAGGGGGGAGAGAAATGATCTAGTGGCATTTTAATTTTAGCATTTCAAACCTGTGACTCCCCAATCCCCCCAGTGGGAATGTTTTGAGTTTGCATAAAAATGTAACACATTTTTCTGAGCAGTGTTCCTCTTTAAATGTGAAGTTCTGTGTTTCGAGGAAAATTAGTCCATATGCTTCTAATTTAGAACACCCTCGAAAAGTTGTTTCCCAAGACTGGGTTTCTTATCCAAGAATCCTTACCAGCCCTTTCACAAATCTTGCCTCTAGTTTTTGAAGCAGGGTATCACATTGTGTGATCATCCAATAAAAGAATTCTTGCTTAGATGAGTTAGTATCAGATGTAAAACTCATATTTCTCCAGGGTCCAACTGGCAGGTAGAGCCTTCTGTGTCTTCCTGAAACTGCTTTAGTTTGCATGTGCCATTTCAGGCAGCCAGCAAGGTTTTTAGGAAGAGCCTACTTCTCATAGAATGCTCTTCTGGAACCACAGTAAAACGCAGTACTGTTGAGGTTAGCACAGACAGAAAGAAAGCCCATGAGATGTAGTTCAAACTATATGTAGATGAGGTGCTTTCACAATATATTGAATGTGATATTTCACCTCTGCTTTTCATTAGCTAGCTACTTCATGTCCCAATATTCTTTTTCTTTTGTTATGTTAGGCTTTAAAAAATATTGATCCTAGAGAGGGAGGGGGCAGGAGAGAGAAAGAGAGAGAGAGAGAGAGAGAGAGAGAGAGAGAGAGAGAGAGAGAGAAACATCGGTGTGAGAGAAACATCAATCACTTGCTTCATCCCCGCAACCTAGTTATATACCTTGACTGAGAATCAAACTGACAACCTTACTGTGCACTGGACAATGCTCCATCCAACTGAGCCACCCCAGCCAGGGCTATCCCAGCCTTCTTTTTTAAAAAAAATTCCCCTGGAGCCTTATTAGTGCCACTCTTTGACTTGACAAGTAGCTTTTTATGTATTTTTTATTTTGAAAATAAATTGGATGTGAAGTTACTAAAACCAGAGTCTAGAAACATTTTAGGAAGTTTTAATAATACGTCTTTTGAAAACTTACTATATAGAATTCCTAATTTTGTCCTTCCTTTTTATTTCTTCAGCTGGCATATTGCATAGTACAATTTCTGGAGAAAGATCCTTCACTCACAGAACCAGTAAGTACTTTTTTCCATAATTTTGAATTATAGACCACTTTTCATGGAGTGCATATGAAAAATTAAGTGTCATTTGTTTTTTTCCTTTCCATTTTAGGTTATTAGGGGGTTAATGAAATTTTGGCCCAAAACATGTAGTCAGAAAGAGGTAAGTGCTTAATGTCAGTGTGTTAATAGCGTACTAAATAATTGGCTGAGTGCCAGGCACAAGCTAATAAGCATGTATAAAATGAATTCTTTCACTTAACCCTCATTGCAGCTCTCTAAGGCAGGACTACCAATGTTCTCATTTTACTGGTTATGAAATTGATGCCTCGAGAAGTTAAGGAGCCTGGCCGAGTACACTAACTATAGGTGGTTAGGCCAGAACCTGCCTTCTTCCTGATTCCTGAACCCTGGACTTTAGTCACAGTACTGCTCAGCCCTACGGAAGCCTGAGCCAGGTCCCAGACATGTGTCCAACTGTCTGGCCTCTCCATGTCACCTTCCTAGTAACCACCTTCATAGTGTGGAGGTTTTGCTGTCACTGTGGATAGGTGCTAGAGCAGAACTCATTTTTTTGGTTGATTTTTCTTTGTTAAATGGCATTTAAATATATAAAATAAATATCAAAAATATAAGTCTTTGTTTTACTATGGTTGCAAATATCAAAAAATTTCTATATGTGACACGCATCAGAGTTAAGTTAGGGTTTTTCAAAATGCTGACACGCGGAGCTCAAAAGGTTCGCCATTACTGCTGCTAGAGCAAACTGCCCAAATACCCACTTTAACACATAGTTTAGATGGGATCTTCCTATGCACAGTCATAAAATATATTACAGACCTGTAGTTTAGCTGTTTACAAGTGGCCTGGACACCTCTGACCTACAATGATTTGTACTTAAAAAAAAAAAGCCATGCAAGGTTGTTGTGAGGGAGTGTCTCTTAACTTGGAAGTGAGCCTAGCTGGGTGCCAGATCTAGATCCACTTTCCTGAAAAGTTAGAAACGATATGAAAATGGCCCAGAAAAGATCAGCTGTTTATTAGTTTTACACTTTGGAAAAATTTGGGGAGAATTTATGTGTTTGATTTTCTTTTAATTGAATTCAGAGAGGAAGGGAGAGAAAGGGAGAGAGAGATAGAAACATCAGTGATGAAAGAGAATCATTGATTGGTTGCCTCCTGCCCACCCCCTACTGGGGATTGAACCCGCAATCCGAGCATGTGCCCTTGACTGGAATGGAACCTGGGACCCTTCAGTGTGCTGATGCTCTATCCACTGAGCCAAACTGGCTAGGTCAGAATTTGTATCATGACAAATGGCAAGAGTCTACAAATTTTGCTTTTAATGGAAACACCCTCCTTTTCAAATCAGTTTCAATTCTCCAAAACCCTGTACAGCTTCAAAAAACTCATCTAATTTCTTACCACCTGATAGGTAAAATTAAAAGTATGCATTGCTACTCAGATGTATCTTAAGATATAAAGAAGGCATTGTCATTTTTCATATTTTAATTGCATACTTAATATTTCTAAGGTAATTATTTTTTTATGCCTAGATAGGTAACTTGTTTTTGTTTCTCTGTCGGTTTTCCATTATATTTAAAACAACTGACTATACTATTGATTTGGCTCCATTTTGTGATCTAAAAGCAGTTTCTTGAGGCACATGGTGCTGAGGCCATGAGATTCACTGTGCTCAGTAGTGAACAATGATGTGCATGTGCATATGTGTAAGTGTGGAGATTGGGTAGAAAGGCTTTAAAGGCTACCTGCTGGGGGTGAACCTGCTCATTTGTATCTTTCCGATCCTATGTGTTCTGTTAACAGCATATCCTAGGGCAGGGGTGGGGATCGGGCCTGGCCCATGGGCCATATGAGGCCGGTGAAATCATTTGGTCTGGCCCTACCAAGACATTAGGGGCGAGTTAATTAAATGTTTGACCAAATAAAGCAGGCTAATTTTTAAGTTGATGATTTTGTATGGCCTGAGAATGATGTTATAAATATCCAAATGGCCTTTGGCAGAAAAAAGGTTTCCCACCCCTGTCCTAGAGGAACACCTACCACAGGTCAGAGCTGGACATATTTGGGAAGTATCTGCATGTGCCATTGTGGACTTTTGTGCATGCATTCAGGACGGCCACCCCCTGTGGTTTAAAACATGTGGGTGAGGGAAGAGATAGCTGGGTTGATAGCAGTAGAGAGAGAGCACAGGACAGTCCCGTATTGCAGGATCCCTGTGTCCAAGAGCAGTTGTTGTGTGTAATAGATGTAACATGTATTTTTTCCAAAGTAAATAGAATTGTGTTTTCAATGTCAAGGGAACTTGCTCTCAACAAGCACCCTCTGGTGAATTCTTTGTGAAATGAACATCTAGCATAATACCTGTGTTCATATATGTTTGTTTTTTTTAAAAAAATATATTTTATTGATTTTTTACAGAGAAGAAGGGAGAGAGATAGAGTTAGAAATCTCGATGAGAGAGAAATATCGATCAGCTGCCTCCTGCACATCTCCTACTGGGGATGTGCCCGCAACCCAGGTACATGCCCTTGACCGGAATCGAACCTGGGACCTTTCAGTCCGCAGGCTGACGCTCTATCCACTGAGCCAAACCGGTTTCGGCTATGTTTGGTTTTATGTATAATTTTTTCTTAAAACAGTGCTAACTCTCATTAATCCTCACCATTCCTATGGATTTTTTAATGAAATGCCTGACATTTTGTGTCTTGTGTGTTACTTACAGGTTATGTTTCTTGGGGAGCTGGAAGAAATATTGGATGTGATTGAACCTTCACAATTTATTAAAATTCAAGAACCTTTGTTTAAACAAATTGCCAAGTGTGTATCTAGCCCCCATTTTCAGGTTAGTACCAGGAGGGCATGAGGCAGAGTAGCCTATGAAGCATGTATTATTTTGGTAAAATTTTATTTGTATTGAATTAATATAATGGACACCAGCTACCTGTTGTTACTTATTTGCTATTTTCTCACATGATACCAATAATTTTAACAATAAGCACCTTTATCTTGAGCACTATATGCCAGTCACTGTGATGATGCTTTCTGCTCAGTAACTTTAATTCTTCTGACCACCCTGTGATTGTGATTTTTACAGACGTGAGTGCTAAAGCTCAAAGTGGCAGAATAATTTGTCTAGAGTAAAGTAGCTGAATAAGAGGTAGACTGGTAGGCTTCCTATAGAGCAAGCATGTCAAACTCGTCGCCCACGGGCCGTTTGCCTCGTTAATTTGGCCCGTGTTAGCCTTTGAATTTGACATGCGTGCTATAGAGTATAAGAGAGAATGCTAAATAAAGCTTAAGAGAAAAAGAACACTGAAATTTTACTTTATACTAGCTGCTTTGCGTACATTATTTCTAAACTTCAAATTATCTTATGAAGCTCCCTTCCCCCCTCCACCGCCCATTTTCTAGATGAAAAAAAATAAAAACGAGACTCAGAGAATGATTTGCTTAAGGTCCCAAGTTAATATGCAGTGAAATCAATAGGTATAGCTGCTTGTCTGAACCTTCCTGTGGCACCACTCTGCCTCCTTGTGGCCACTTGGGGAGAATACAGTGCAGGTGAACCTGGGCAATTTTCTCTATCAGGCCCTTGCTGCAGTGATGAGGAACCCACGCAAGAGGGAAGAGGGTGATCTGGGGTGAATACACATTAGGCTTTATCCTTCGATATCTCACCAGAGGTCTGAATTACAGAGTAGAGAATTGACTCTTGATATACTGCCTGCTGATTTGAAGAAATTGTTCAGATTGTAGTTGGCTAACAGTGGACTTGAGGGACTTTCCCCTGCTCTGCATTATCCTGCACAGTTAGAGACACCGCTGTTGTCTAAAGACATCTCAGTGTGTCAAGTCAGTGGTCTCGTGACAATCTTGTGATTGTATAGTGCCACCCCCCCCCCCCCACACACACACACACACTTAGAAACCATTATATGAACCATTACATTGGATGATATAACACACATCTAGATAGGAAAAATTCAGGATACTGTAGATGTTTTGCATATTACACATGGCTGCGGCTCAAACATCTGGATTGTTTACCTTATTTACTGTTTTCATGAGGATGTTTGGTGTAATTAGGGCAAGGAGCAGGAACCTTTTAAAAATATTTTTATTGATTTCAGAGAGGAAGGGAGAGGAAGAAAGATAGAAACATTAATAATGAGACAGAGAGTCATTGATTAATGCTTCCTGCGTGCTCTCTACTAGGGATTGAGCCCACAACCCAGGCATTGTCCTGACTGGGAATCGAACTGTGACCTTCTGGTTCATAGGTTGATGTTCAACCACTGAGCCACAATGGCCAGGCAGGAGCCTTTTAATTTTTTTAAGAATAGCTTATTGATTTTTAGAGAGAGAGGAAGGGAGAGGGAGAGAGAAAGTAAAACATCAATATGAGAGTGCAACATAGATCAGCTGCCTCCTACATGCCCCCACTGGGGATCAAGACTACAATCCCTGGTATCTGCCCTTGACCAGGAATCGAACTGACAACTTCCTGGTGCACAGGACGATACCCAAACAATTGAGCCACACCACACAGGCAAGGGCAAGGAGCTGGAATCTTTTAAAATGAGTATCACCAGGAAGGAGTAAGTGATTCTCAGAAGCTCAGAAAGGAGACAAAGTGTCTTAGTCAGCTGGGGCTGACTAACAAAATGCTATAGACTGGGTGGCTTATGAACAACAGAAATGATCACTCACAGTTATATGGAGGCTGGAAGTCTGACATCAGGGTGCCAACATGGTTAGGTAAGGGCTCTTTCATGGGTCACAGGCTTCTTCTTGTGTCTTCACATGGCAGAGGGGCTGTTTTGAAAGGCACTGACCCCCATTCATGAAGGCTCCACTCTTATGACTTAAGTACCTTTCAAAGACCCCACCTACTAGTACCGTCATCTTTCAGGGTTAGGATCTCAACACATGAGTTTTGAGGTGACACAAATATTTAGACTGCAGCTGTTTCCATACCAGACTGTATGCACAACAGAAGCTCATTTCTCAGTTCTGTAGGCTGGAAGTCTGGGACTAGAGAGCCAGCAGGACCTGCTTCTGTGAGGGCTTCCTTTCTGTCTCGCAGGTGACCACCTGGTACCTTGTCCTCACATGGCCTCTCCGTGGTGAGTGCATGTGGAAAGAGAGGCACTATCTCTCTTATAAGGCCACAAAGCCTGTTCAGTTAGGACCTTACCCTCATGACTTCACCTCATGGGGGTAGGGCTTCAACCTAGGAATTGGCGGGGAGTGGGGAAATGACATAGTTCGGTCTATAGCAGAAAGAAAAAAGAATTTTAAATTATTCGATAGAACAAAAGAACGGAAAACAAAAGAAGTAAAGTAAAGAGGTTCTTTATTCATTCGTTGTGTTCATTGGTTCATCCAGCAAACATTTATCCTGTGCCTCAGACATACTGCCTCAGACACACTGTGTGCTTTGTGGTGTTTAGACACTGTCCATGTTGGTGCCTCTGCCTCCCTTCCTGTATTTCCCTCCTCCTTTCATCCTCCAAAGCCCAGCCTAGATGCCACCCCCTATGTCATCATCCTGCCACTACTCCTCTCCCCCACATCATCAGGGTGGTTCTGTCTGCCCTTCCCTCCAGCACTTTATTTCTGTGTCTGATGTGACACTTACCACAGTTTACATGGATAGGCTCATAGGTCGATTCCTCCTTTCCCCACCGGCGTCTGAACACCATACGGATGACAGAGAAAAGAGTTTAAGAGCAGGGACTTTGGAGTCTGCCCCTTGCCAGCCATGTGACCTTGAGCCTCAGTTTCCTCACTGGCAAAATAGAAATAATGCTACCTACTCAGTGTATTGGTGGTGAGGATTGAATAATATGTATGTGAAACACTTTGCATAGTGCCTGGCATATGGTAAACATTCAGTAATGATTGTTTCTTTGTACTCTCAGGGCCTAGTGCCTCACAAGTCCCAGGACTTTTTTTTTGAACCAAGTTGAATAATGTAAATGGAAAGGTTCTAATTTCTCAAGAGTGTATTGGCTGATGCATCTTGTACCATTTTATTAAATTAAATTAAAATTACTTTAAAATTAAATTTATTTTTTTATTCTTTTATAGTTTTCACTTAATTTATCTTTATTGTTGAAAGTATTACAGATGTTCCCTTTCCCCCCCTTCACCCCCTTCTGCCCTCCCCAGGGCTTTACTGCACTATTATCTGTGTCCATGGGTTATGCATATATTCATATAAAATTAAAATTAATTTAAATTTTAATTTTTAAATGAAAACATAATTTTTAATCTGATGGAATGAAAGAAGCCCCTCTTTTCTCATATAACTACCCTTTTTGGGGATTTTAGAATATTTTTTGAGAATTGGGTTTATATTGATTCCTATTATAGATGATTTTAGATTATTTTTGGAGGTATTCTGTTGAATTCTTAGAGTCAGTTGATAGTGAGGTGGTCAGAGAAAAGGGATCTGAGATAACAGGCAGTCTTATATACATCTTGTGTCCCCGAGTCCAGAAACGGAGCGACTTTCTCCTGGCTTATTTAGTCCAAAGCAAGGGTGACAGAAATGAAGTCTGGAAAGAGTCCAGGCACTAGACTCGAGTCCTAGCTTTTACCATTTGCTAGTCACGTGATGTTGGCTAGGTTACCAGTCTCTCTGAACCTCAGTGTCCTCCTTCGTCCAATGGGCACAACAGTAGCTACTCCGTAGGTGGTGGGGACAATGGTACATTCTCCCTGCAGTGCAGGCACAGCACCTGCCACAGTAGGTGCTTAGCGGAGGGGACTGCTCTGCAGGGTTGGGCAGCTGGGTTTTCTCTGCAGCTATTGACGGTGTCAGCCATGTGCTGTGTGAGTGAAAGAGGTGAGTCAGGAAAGGGGTTAAAGGAATGGTGGAAACTGTGTGGCATAGGGAATAGAGGTGTCCAGAGCTTGGGAGCTATGCAGAAAAAATGTGGAATTAGAAGAAATGAGCAGTATGAAAGGAGAATAGAAATAGGTAAGGAAACTTCTTTTCCTTCTCCAAATTGATGAACCACTTTGGAACTTTCTGAAAGATTTTAAACCTCCCAAAATGTAGAGCGTGATTAATATTTAATTTTACATTTGGTTGAATGATATAAAAATAGTCTTAAAGTACTTTTGTTTGGAGATTTTTAATTTTATCTTTGTCTTTTTCTCTCTCTTAACATTTTCTTTTTCTTTTCTCAAAGGTGGCAGAAAGGGCGCTCTATTATTGGAATAATGAATACATCATGAGTTTGATAGAAGAAAACTCTAATGTCATCCTTCCCATCATGTTTTCCAGTCTGTATAGGATTTCAAAAGAACATTGGAATCCGTAGGTTTTCCGTTCCTTCCCTCCCTCCCTCCCTCCCTCCCTCCCTTCCCTTTCTTTCTCCTTCCCTCCCTTGCTCTGTTCCTTTGGTCTTCTCTCCCTCCCTCCCTTTTTCTCTTTTGCTTATTAAATGTCGTGAGTGCTTGCTATGTGCCAGATGCTGTGCTTGTTGCTAAAGAGGACTATGTGAAAAGATAAAGTCCCTACCTTTAACAACTTCACTGACTGGTTGGCAAGACCCACAAGTAAACAGATAGTTTTATGAAGCAGTGTTATAAGTGTGTTCTGTTAACATAGTTCACTTGAGGGCTTCTGGCCCGTCTATGAATGGAACAGATATGGGGATGCTGTAGAGGGAGAGGAAGGGTTTGAGGACATCTGTGGAGTGGTGAGGCGCCAATTGAATCTTAAAGGAATTTGGCAGGTGAATGGGATGGGGAAGCCCTTTCAGAGTGTGGGTCCGTCTTGTCATATAAAAAGGAATAAAAATGTAAAAAGCCCGAGACCTGAGAGTTTGGGAAGGTTGAAGCACAGGAGGTTGGGGAGGTTGCTGGAAGACGAGGTTAGAAAGGGGAGTGGGGCCCACGTGAGCCTTCACCACGTGAATGATAAGGAAACACTAAAGAGCTGTAAAGTGATGTGATCTGAATTGATTGGCATTTTAGCAAGATCCATTTTTAAAAAAACCAACTTAGTCATTATATATGTTCTGAGGGAAGAAAAGTTTATAGTCTTCAAAGAGAACTTTAACCTCTAGGCCTGTGAAAGTTAGAGCATTCTGTATTTGAATGTCTTTACATATTTCTCTGGGGAATAGAAAGAAAAGTTAAGGTGGCATTAAAAATCAGCAGGTAGAATTCAGTATATTAGTAATTAGTTTGGCTTTAAAAGTTTTGCATACAACTGTAAAATAATAATACATTTTCCAAATTCACGAAATTTTATTAACAAAACTGGTAAAAATAAGGAGCTGGTAAACAATGAAGTCTCCTTACGCAGATAGTCTCTTGAGAATCTAGCCTAGAGAGTGGTTTCAGCAAGAGTGTGTAATTGCTCAGTATACTGTTTTTGGCCCTTCTCCATCACTGCCCGGAGCATTTGGGGAAGTCATTCATTTCAGCAGAAGGGAGTATACGTTTTCCTTTTGCTAATGGGCACAGGGAAGAAGCAACACAGCTTCTTATAAACGTTTTGGAAACATCAAACCCGTGGTTTACTTAACACCTGGCCTAACTTTTACCAGTGCCCTTTTCAGAGGTATTGGAGCATATTGCAAAAGAGAAGCACTGTTGTATAGTTTTGCAAAGGGCAGTGCTATTTAGATCTGGTCTGAGCTGTCAGGCCCATCAAGGGACAGTCTTCGTGTTGCCCAAGAGCTTATTTTTCCTTGCTGAGTATGGACCACCGTTTTGGCTGGTTAGCTGTATGCTGTTCCACAGCTCATCACAGCCATCACCAGCTTGCCCGCTACCTTACCGGCAATGTATTGGATCAGCAAGGGGATCAAGTTGGTCTGAGTGGACTGATGCAAATCACAAATAGAAACTAACTCATATTAAACTCCCCAACTTATAGGGGTTTAATATCGTATCTATGGATATGAATGATATAAATTACATATTTCCAGCTTTTGATTTTGATGAATTCTGTATGATAATATACATGATAATGATAAAAATAAAATTCTATGCAAACTTAGGCCTCTAAGGTTAGTGCTACCACAGGTGCTCCTTTTTAAGGTGGAGTTGCTTTATTTTTATGCTTGCTTTTTTATTAAATGAAGTTAACAGTTGCCCACAGGCAAATCTATTCTGGTTACCAATAATTAGAAGGGCAGAATTAAATTTTTCTTTTTTTAATCCTGCCAACCCCTCAGAAAGATGTCTTGCCTTGAACAGTAAAGACAGTAACTCTTGATTTGGAAATGAACTGTATGTCATTTCTAGTTGTTCCAACTAAAAGGGATGGAGATAGTGTGCAATACGTGGAGCTCATTCAAGGTTTGTGCTTTCTCTCTTTCTCCCTCCCATTATGTACAACTAACTAATAAGTCCCTCTTCTCTGCTTTTCAGGGCTATCGTGGCATTAGTCTACAATGTGTTGAAGGCGTTTATGGAAATGAACAGCACCATGTTTGACGAGCTGACAGCCACATACAAGTCAGATCGCCAGCGGTAACTTTTTAAAGCTTTTTTGTCAGCTGTGCCCAAAACTATTGAGTTCGTTCCTTGCTCTTTGCTGACGTGGCTTATTTGCACTGCAGTCCTAAGCCATACAATTTTATTTATTTAACTCTTCATTTCTGCATGCTCATTAGTTGTGTCTTTTTTAGTGGAGCCCCTGGGCAGCAAAGTGTTGTTTTGAAAAAGGCTGCTTTCCTCCTTCCCTTCTGTAGTGTTTCTCTTCTACCTCAGGGTTAAGAGCTTGGCACAGAGCTGGCATTCAGGTCTGCATAAGGGAACCATCAGGTAGTTTGCCAGCTGGATCCGCTCCTGTCCTGAACTTACTTGAACGACAATTGGGCTGATCTTATACTTCACTCCAGCAGCAGGAGGGACGAGGCACCATTTTGTTTAGTTCTTTGGCTCAGAATTTATTTTCTATTCTAGAACCCCAACAAATTCATTACAATTGAAAGGACAGGGAGGTGAAGAGTCTGGTGTTTTATAAATACTGAAATGCTTAAGACCAAAAGGGGGCAAAGAACAGGCGTACTCTTTATAATAAACTAGAGGCCTGATGCATGAAATTCATGCAGGAGTAGGCCTTCCTTCCCCTGGCTGCCAGCACTGGCTTCCCTCTGGCACCCGGGACCCGAGCTTCCCTCACAGCCCCGGAAGGACACCTGGTCTAATTAGCATATTACGCTTTTATTATTATAGATGCTATGGCTGAATAAAGCCTTTCTTAATTTCATTTATGTGATTCTTCAGTTTTGTTATTTCTTGTTCAATATGTCCAACTTTCCAAAAGATGATGTCTTAGTCCATTCGGGCTGCAATAACAAAATACCACATATGGGTGTTTTAGGGGCAGCTTGTAAACAACAGAAATTAATTGCTCACAGTACTGGAGGCTGGAAGTCCGAAAGCATCACGCCAGCATGGCTGGATGAGGGCCCTGTTTCTGGTTCATAGCTGGCACCTTCTCATTGTGTCCTCACTTGGAGGAAGGGGGAGAGGTGTCAAGGGATTTCTGTGGTATCACTCACAAGAGCAGTAATCCCATTATGGGGACCATCCTCTTGACCTGATCACCTCCCAAAGGGGCCCCACCTACTAATATCATCATCTTTGGGGATTAGGATTTCAGCATATGAATTGGGGCTAGGGGCACAAATGTTCAGACCATGGCATCAATGTACTTGGAGACTTTGAGGAAAGTCTAGAGAGTTTGTTAGTAGTGGGGCCTTTGTTTTTTTGGCTCTGATCATACAGAAGCAAATGCCACTTTATATATTATAAAACTGTGAACCTAGAGGATCCCAGAGGTGTGTGTGTGTGTGTGTGTGTGTGTGTGTGTGTGTGTTCAGACCCAGGACCTTGTGGAATCTCCTGAGCAAAGCTCTCTGTGGTTCCCTTGCTTCTTTGCTTTGCCTGATTTTGAATGTGTTACTTGCATTTATTGATAAAGAGAGTAATGAGGGGAAAGGTTTGGTGGCAGGAGACAAAGGACCATTACACTCATTTAAAAACAATTATACTATGATATATTGAAAAGCAACTTAATCATGGAATATGGCAAGTGTTTAATTGTAGACAGAAGAGGTTGAGATTTTTAATAAAATAATGGAATAAATATTAAGTATGGGATATGTTGGGTCATACTTGCAATTTAAAGAACTTTTATTATATTTACAGTTTTTGCAAATCACTGAATTTATAATAACTTTTCTTGTCCCCAACTTAAAATGCCCACGGTTAATTCTTATCTTTTTAAAAAGTTTGTCTAATTTAAATAATTATTTAAATAAAGGAAGTAAAGTACACATTCATGCTGTGATATACCACTAAAAGGTATACTGTACATAATATTCCTTTTTAAGCAACTAATAGCTTATTATCCCAGTTGAATAAGGATTAAATCTGTAGAATCCAATTAACAGTATTAAAGACTTTATTTCTAAAACTAGAGGCCCAGTGCATGGATTTGTGCACCAGTGGGGTCCCTCGGCCTGGCCTGTGAGGATCCGGACAAAACCAGCTCTCTGACATCCCCCGAGGGGTCCTGGATTGCCAGAGGGCACAGGCCAGGGTGAGGGAACCCACCGGTGCACAAATCCGTGCACCAGACCTCTAGTATGCATATAAGATCTTTGGTTAATCTCTTCCCACCCTCCCCCCTTCCCTCTGAGATTCATCAGTCTGTTCCATGTTTCCATGCCTGTGTATTGAGTGTCAGTGTGCATCATAGCAAACGGTTGAATGGTCGGTCACTTAGGGTTTTATATGTATAGATATTGAAATTGATTGAAGTAAATTCATATTTATTGAACTTCAGTAATAAACTGTTTACTGATCATTTATTATTTAAATTAGACAAACTCTTTAAAAAGATAAGAATTAATTAAGGGTATCAGAAATAGACACTGTGAGGTTGATTCTGATAATCTGATATATTAAAGTGACTTATAGCAAATGGGCTTTCTTATTGAGAGAAGGATTATTTTTAAGCAAGGGTAATATTTTGTTCAAAGAACAGTCGAAGGTTAAACAGAATAGATGGAAACATTGGTTTCTCCTTAGATATAGAATAGGAAAAGAGAATAAAGAGATTTATTTGGTACTTTTAGAGAACTCAATGAAGGATTTCACTTCTGGATGGCAAGACACCAGTAATTGTTTCAGTTCAGATAAAATTGTAAGGATTGCAAGTCTGAAATTGTGTGTGAAATAAGTATCTAACACTGTTAGATACACATGCCAACATTAGTGCTATGTAAAATTGAAATTGGGAGAGAATTTGACAGTATCCTAGCTTGACAACATGGTTAAGTTTTTAAACTCACTCCTACAGGTAGAGAGAAAAGTGGGAAAGAATGGGGGTGACATTAACTATATCAGAAATATTTAGAACTTTTGAAGATAAAGTTGTCTGAACAAAAGATTTATGATAGATCAGCACAAAGTTCCCCTGGAAGAAAAGCCCCCCAGCACAGATGGTACTGAATGCCATAAAGCTTTGATCAAAGAAACTCTTCAGGAATAAGATGATGAGTATTTTTATGATGTCGGTTCTTAATTTAAACTGAATTAGGGCAGTGTGAACCTTACGTATATTTAAACTGTTTTTTAGTTGAATAAAGATCCTAAGGCCTTGCTTACCAATTTCTTCTCCCTCTTCCTCCAAATTAAAGGTCATATTCTTTGAAACCAGCAGGATTTACAGAATTGATTTAAATGTACTCAAATCAGTATTCCCTGATAACATTTATTTAGACTTAATATTATTCTTAAACTGTACTGAGAAACCAAAAGAGGTAATTTACCAAACAGCTTGCTTTTACAGTTAAGAATCTGGAATTCATAATGATTGAAGGATTATCTAATCTTGTTATATAAATATAAATTTTCAGGGTCAAAATTACCCTACAGGTAATTGTTTGAAAATTATGCCCACTGAAATTTATGTTGTGCAGATTATATTTGAGATAGATGAAATTAATTATAGTAAACAAAAGCTTAAAATAACAAAATATTAATTATGAAATGATAATATTAATGACCATATTACATAATGAAATGTTTCCTTAAGACTAGTGGGATGAGAATATAAAATTACTCAAGTATTTCTAGAGTGGTTTTTTTTTGTGGGCAATGAAAATTAATTTCTATTGCTATAGTTATCAACATAACTTTAAAAAATTGGGGATGATATAAAAATATGAGGCATTAGAATTATATACAAATTTCACTTAACCTATGTGGATTTCCCTGAGTAAATATTATACTGTAACTGACATTAAATTTTTGCTAGGTAAAGTAACACATGGCCCTTTTTCAGGAATTATCTGAATTTATGGATACACAGATGTCATTTGGGTGTGCTGTTTACTGGCTCATCACAACATGGGAAAGCTAGGGACAGAAATGAATTAATTATTTTAATATATGTGAATTTATTAATTTACATTATATTCATATATTCCTGGATTATGTACTTCTGACTTGATTGATGTTAAAATCAGCACTATTTCTTTTATAAAAATATGGTAATCTAAACATGTCCTTGGCAAAATAAAATTTGTTAACCCTATTTTAGACATCTAGAGTTTTAGTAAATTTTACCAATTTCCCCCCAAATATGGAAGTCACTAGTTAAATTGATATTGAATTAAATTTGAAGCCTTGGAACATTAAAGTTTTAATATATAGTAATATCAACACAGTTCTGTCCAGATCATTAAAACTGCAATCACAGAAGAAATAATACATAATTTGGTTGTATTTGTAAGTATTAAATACGTTAATTTAGATTTTGTGATTTATTAACACTTACAAGATACTGCTAAAGAGTTTAAATAGACATAGTGTAGGAAAAACAGATATTCATAAAGAGGAAGTATATTTTCTTGACCTACTGCATTCTCTGTATCAGTGTCATTTCTAGCATCTCTTTTGAGAAACTGTTTGGAGACAAAGAGAAAATTAGATTTTAAGTAGATCCCAAGTGAAAGTCACTAATGTGCCCTTGGTTTTAGGATAACAGATACATATAAATGATCCTCATTTTTGTTTCTCAGTAATTTTGAAGTTAATATTCTGTATTAAGTATAAAGGAATATTAATGTAAAATCAACCCTAGCTGGTTATGCTGGTTGGGGCACATGTAGGGGGCAACCAATTGATGTGTCTCTCTCACATCGATCTTTCTCTTTGTTTCTCCCCCTCCCTTTCACTCTCTAAAAATCAATGGAAAAAATATCCCTGGGTGAGGATTAACAACAATAAAAAGTTATCATCTTCTATTCTGTTCATTAATACTACTTTGTGTCTAAATAAGTGTCAGATAAAAGAGCAAGAGAGAGAAAAACCAAAAAGAAGAAATACCCATAAGCTTAATGCCAAGCTTTTCAAAGACCTTTTAAAACATACATGGGAAAAAGAATGTTCAAGGGACAGTTATTGATGAATAACTTCTTTAAACCTCCCCAGGTATTTACTTTATATTTTGTTTCTTCCCCAGTGAGAAAAAGAAAGAAAAGGAGCGTGAGGAATTGTGGAAAAAACTGGAGGATCTGGAGTTGAAGAGAGGTCTTAGACGTGATGGGATAATTCCAACTTAACAAAAACAATGGCAGCAACATTACTAACCTGTGGAGTCACACATTTATGTAGTAGAAGATGGAGCAACAGTTTTCTGTATTGTGCAACTTTACAGTAGATTTCACATTTGTTTCATTATTACAACAGCACTGTATATACCTGTCTCTAAGTAAAGGAAAAAAAAAATAAGGACTTCAATCCAAAGTTTGGACAGTAGATGGACTTCTCAGAACTTTGCAAACATAATCATTGTTCTTAACCCTTTAAAAAAAAAAAAGAGCAGTTTTCAGAGACCTGTTAATGAAACTGCTGTTAAAATTCCATTGTCGGGAGTTCCTTATTTATCATTAGCAGAGAGTATGAAACAATTCTCAAATGTGAACAATCTTAAATTTAGCTTGTCTTTCTGCTAAGCTGTTAAATGTATTTATAGGAAAGGAAGAAAAAAAAAAAGACTGTCATTTCCATATAGGTTTGTATAACACCCTCTTCTGGATAACTTGACTGTAATTTGACATCTTTTCCTTTTGCACATCTTCTTGAGTTGAATGTCCACATGGAATGGGGCCGTGAGTTATAAAGGTCCCAGATGAGAGTTTTGCTTACTGGAGTGAACATCTTTCCAGTAGCCAGGTAGTCCTGGTATTCCTTTAGGTTTAAAATTTGGAGTAAAAGAGAAGAGGTGATAAACATAGTAGGGAAGGGAATTTTGGATTCGTGCAGGAGTTTAAGGTGAATCCAAATCAATGTCTTGAATCCTTTGCAAACAGGCACTGGGACATCATAGGCTTCAGTACCTGAGCAGTATTAATTGCGTACATCATTGAACACACATACCAGAGATGTTTTAGGCATGTCAGAAAACATCCTTTGGACCATTTTGAAATCAGAAAGACAGACACTAAATAGTACAACCATGAAATTGATCGCCAGGATTGCGGATCTAATTGGGAATAGAGTTGAGCAAACAGCTTGGACTGTTTGGAGTTGTTGCCTTACTTTTTAATATGTATTTATAAAGTATTCCAGCAAAAGAGGATGTAGCCTCTGGGGAAAAACAAACATGTTACCGTGTTTTTTGTAGATTCTCCTATATCTCATCACAGCGCCAGCCCTGTTTTTAGCCAGAAAGGATTCAGGATAAACATTATTATGCATTCTGAATTGGATGCGTATTCCTAACTACTGTATTTGTTACCAAAAGTGGTTCTACAAATGCTACTGAAAAAAATCTGGAAATTCCTAATGTCCTGAGTATTAATAATAAAGTTTAAAAATGCTTTTATATCAAAGGTGCATTGTGACCAAATTGTTTAAGAAAAAACAAAAACAAACAAAACAAAATCTAGGGCTGTATTATAGCTATATTTTATTGGCTCTTTGCTTTGTATTTAAAAGAGGACTCTTAACATCTTGGGGAGATAAAAATACTGATAAAACTGTGTACAGTATGTACTTAACCTATTGTGGTTGCGTTATTATGTACTGAAAGATATGTGTTTGGGGCTTATTTCCAGGATGCATTTGCTTGTTATGGACATAGCAGCAGTGAGTTGATAATCCTAAACCATCACTTCAGCAGTCTTCATGGCATAGAGCTGATTCTGTTCATGTGTTGAATTGTCATAGCAGCAAACATGAACATATGAACTGTTGTTGCTCTTAGTAGAAATATAATATCAATATGGGCTTGTATACTTTCTTCCTTCCATTTAAATATAAAGTAGAATATGCAGTTATATTGTTTCCAAGAAAAAGAGGGGAAAAAAGGCGGCTGACCTTTCTCCCCTATTAGGTGTTTCCGGATTATCAGGTCACAGTGTGTGTGTAAAGGTCAGCTAATTATGAATACTGTCATCTCAGCAACTTTGTAAAACAAACAAAACTTGGCATTGAGAATTCTGAGAAAGAACCAACAGTAAAATAGTCATATGTAACACCAAACATAACATGCTTTAATGGAATTCACAGGTTTTTCTTTTTAAAAAAGAACATTCATGGGGATTCAATGTACATTTGGCAGAGACTGCCAAAGATGAAACAACTTCCTTTCAAAGTGCTGGAGCAAAGGTGCAAGTTCAACAACTAAAGATAAAAAATAAATTTATAACAAATCCTCTCCGATTTTAGCTTGTTAGTTTTGACTCTGCATTACATTTAGTTTTGACAGTCTAAATGTTTGTTTGCCGTTAATTCATCTTTTTTAAATAAAGGGACATTAAAATCACAGGTTTATGAAATATCTCTGCCCATTAGAATGAAATGCAGTCATTTGAAATGAGAAAGACTAGGCTCCTATTTTGCACCTTACCCTGTCTTCAGAGTTAAGGTGAGAACTACACAGATATCCTTGATGTCAATTTATGTGTTGATTATTCCAAACTGAGGAGAATAAAGCCAGATTTTAGACATACTCAAAGAAGCAATTATAGATACATGTCTAAAATTCATAGGGCAACTTCTGAGAAGAAACACTGTCTTTTCTTTTTAATTGAAAGTGACAATGTGACACTTGTCATGTTGTGTCCGGTGACACAAGTAACTAGGTTGTCTGACTGTTGCACCATGTGACATATTTAAGGACATACTTGCTGCATTTGCAGCAGCCCTTTCTGTCCTTTCCTGCATTTCTCCTGTTGCTGCGACTTGAGCTCATTGTGACAAATGCATCTTTGTGTTATATTTTGTTTGCTTCATAATTTCCAGAACTATATATAAATCTATTTTTAAAAAAGCAAATATTGTAGTTAGTGAGTGATGATCACTCCAAACTTATCCCTACCATATTGGTTTCAGGGGTAGGATTAAGAGTGTCTTTGGAAGAAAAAACAAACAAAAACCCTGTGGTTTAGAGTGATGCTGAGGCCTTAGGCTGTGGGCCTAGAAAACCCATGTGAGTGAACTGACCCCTCTCATCCTTTGAATCAAGCATGCATTCCTTTTCTCATTGTGCAAGTGGCCCCATTGTTTTCCTTCAGTGTTGAGTTTTTGTCCTTTTAAATTTTATTCTATTTTGCTCTCCCTAACATCTGACTGTTTTTTTATATAAAATAAAATAAAAAATAAAAAAGTGAGAAATAAATAATACCCTTGATGCCGCTGGATACTCACAAGCAGGGTTATGCTCCTTCATCTTGGGCTCACGTGCCTCAAGGGAAGGGTTTAAATTATTTTGTACCTCCTCCTATGCGTGGGACAGTCCAGGGTGCAGAGCCAGGAGCTGCTTGTAATTGCACCTGCTATACTTAAACGTATAGCCCTAGGCTCAATCACACTATGGGGAAAAAAGTATATTTAGAGCTTTAAAAGCTTTTTTATTTTTTTGTGGGGATGGGGAGGGTGGGAAAGGGAAAATGTATGGATGTTATTGGCATTCTTAAGTGCACTGACCTGGCCCAGGAAATGAAAAGATTCTCTCTTTTGATGCTATTACCAATGTTATTACAAAGTGACAGTCACCTACAGCTAAACGTGGCACCGGACATGATTGGTGATGTTTAATTTGCACATCAATATTTTTATTTTTATATTCTGGCTCAGCTGCTTTCTCTGAGTGGAGTTAAGAAATGAGCCACAAAGGATTTTTGTAGTAGGTATATTGGCAATGCATTTTATATTTCTCAGTATTTAATTTTGAAAATCAAAAAGGATTGTGCATCTTGAGAGAAAGTTGAGCAAGTTTTGAACCAGTGGAATGTTCACTTGTGCTGCTGCTTGTGCACGACAGCAGTAGTATCTCTTGGAAATAAACATCCCATATTACGATGTCTATGAATATAGGTTTCCTTTTCTTCCCTCCTCTTCTTCCTCCCTTCCCCTCCTTATCTCTCTCCTTTTTCTTCCTTCCCTTGTCCTTTTTTTTTTTTTTTAAAGAAATCACTTATTGTAAATAAGTTGTAATCCAAACCTCATGTATCAGTGAGGAACTTTCAAATATAAATATTACCAATACATTTTCTGGTTGTTGTCTGATTTTTGATTGAGGGATATGAGAATGACATGTCCATTGCTTTTGGTTTGAGGATTTTGCTTTAGCTCCGTAAATCTTTTAGTATTTTAGTATTTCATTGTTTTAGCAGGAGAGGGCAGCAAAAGTTTATTTTTCCTGTTAGAAATGCTGTGTGGTTCATGATCGATTTTAAGTGTGTGTGTGTGTGTGTGTGTGTGTGTGTGTGTGTGCGCGCGCGCGCGCGCATTAAAACAGCATCTGTTTGTGGATAGAGGTAAAAATGAAACATTTTTGAGATGAAAAGTTGCATATGAAAATTATGAACTGGTTCAACCAGACAGCCAAGACTTCTTGTCCACATCAAAGTTAAAATCCACAAAACAATCTTCCAGCTCGGGCTCAAATGTGCTACTTTTCAAACACAACAAAAGGCAAGTGGAGTCTTAAACACTTGAAACTTAAAATGTCTTTGAAAATGATTTCCTTTCTTCAAAGTGGTAACAGAAGCAAAAATGAAGGTGTTCACAAAGAGAATGTAACTTCCCCTTTGACGGCCGTGTCAGAGGTTCTGTACTGTGGGTGCCTCCTAATAAAGAAGCGTGAAGAATTCCCAGGCGCCTGGCTGTGTGTGTGTTTTTGACCTCTGACCTCGTGAACCACATAAAGAATAGCTTTGATCAACTTGCCTGTGAAACAGTGGGGTTGGTTGGTTCACACTTTCATCTAGAGAAAATCAGGAGCAGTCCAGTGCCTTGCTGTATAACAGACTACTCCAAAACTTAGTGGCATAACCCCAGTTATTGTTTACCAGTGTACAGTTTGGGCAGGACATGGTAAGATCATCTAGTCTCTGCTCCTCGAGCGTCAACTTGGGTTTAATGGAGTTGGAGAATTCACTTCCAACACGGCTCACTCTGGCTGCTGGCTTCAGGTTCAGCCATATGCCTTCATTCATGACATACTAATGGGGGTCCTTCACAGCATGTCCACTCGTTTCTAAGAAAAATTGCTCTAAGAGCCCAGTCGGTGTGGTTCAGTGGTTGAGCATCAGCCTATGAACCAGGAAGTCATGGTTCCATGACTGGTCAGGGCACATGCCAGGTTGCAGGCTCAATCCCCCCTTGTGTGTGGGTGTGGCGTGCAGGTGGCAGCCAATTGATGATTCTCATTATTGATGTTTTTATCCCTTCTCTCTGAAATCATTAATACACACACACACACACACACATACCCCAGAGGCCCAGTGCATGGAAATTCGTGCGCTTGGGGGCCCCTCAGCCTGGCCTGTGCCCTCTCTCAGTCCAGGAGCCTTCGAGGGATGTCTGACTGATGGCTTAGGCCCATTCCCCATGGGGAGTGGGCCTAAGCCACAGTCTGGCCTCCCTCTGTGGGAGGTGACCAGCAGGGAGATCGGTGGATGGTGCCCCACTGCCCCCTCATCACTGTCCCCTCCCTCTGCCCACTGGTGTCTGCCTTGGCTGGCCTGGTGCCACCTATTCGCCAGCCCCACCCGCCGCCGACCATTCGTTCTGCTGTTCAGTCGATTTGCATATTAGGCTTTTATTATATAGAATATCTATATATATATAAAGAAAGAAATTATATATATATAAAGAAAGAAAGATTGTTCTGAGAGACAGGAAGTGGAAACTGCTCATTCTATCACTTCTGTCATATCTTTTTGGTCAAGTAGTCACAGGGTCTGCTCAGATTCAAGTGGAGGGACATAATCTCACTGTGATGTGATGAGAGGAGTGTCATCTTTAATCAACTACAGGATACTTTGTAAAGCATCTGATGTAGGTGACTAGTTAACTGTGTAGAGTTAACTAGTTAATGTTTCATGTTAAACTCTGAGCTGGGGAGAGAAAAATTCTTGTAAACTCAGCCATTTTGTATTTCAAAGCATAACCATTTGTAACATCTGAAGATCACCCTCTTGGTAAATTACAGGATGAAGAAACTTTCACAAAGAATTTTAGGGTTCAAGGAAATCTGAGTTTATTTCAACAGGTATCTACTCTTAAAATTACCTCCTGCCTGTAAATAAATATTTATGATAATGGAGGCAAAGTAAATATACAGTTCAATTCCTATTTCTGAGATTTTTGTATAATACTGTGTTCAGGGGATTTCTAGTAGATCAAGTTCACATTAGATTTTTTTAAAACAGACTAAATTATGGAAAAGCAAGTGGAATTAAAATCTGATTTGCTAATGATATATGTTCATTTTCAAGAATATTTTTGAAAGGCAGGGTTTAGAAAACAAGCTTGATAGCTCTCCAACCTAAAAGTCCACTACAAGACATGTATTCATTGATTGATCAGACCAGTGTTCATTGACTGGCTCTTTTCATATTCTTGTCCATTCTCTGATGCTCAGATTTTCTGTCTTTTTAATCATTTAATTTAGTTCAATTCTTTTAAAATCATAGTCTGAATTGATCATACAATTTGGAGTCAATCTTGGTGGATGCTACATGATATGAGGCCTAGAACCAGGATGGACATCAGCACGGCCCGCGTCACCCTCACTAAAGCTCTTCAGGTAAGATGTCTCTGACCAGGCTCCCAAGGTGCAGGCCATGGACTTGGAAAGCACAGGCCCATGGGATCACCTGGGTTCTGCTGTTTGTCAGCTGTGTGACTTTGCGAAAGGTTCTTGATCTAAGCCTCAGGTTCATTGGTAAAATGGTAGTGTATAGTGTTATATTACATTAGATAATATATATAAAGCAATTAACACAAAGCCTGGCACATGGTAACCTGCAATTAATATCGTTACCTGCGTTAAATGCATATTTTGTTAGCTGTTATTTACAGAGGTGGCTTAAATATAAATGAATAATTATAATAACTAACACTTACCTTGTATGTGTAAGTTTCTTTTAGCCATTAAGTTTTCACAACAATCCTGGGTAGAGGTGCTCATCTCTAAGACAGCTGAGGTTCTACCAAACATTGAACCAAGATTCTGACTCCAGTTTGCTCTGAAGAGTAATCACTATACAGTAGGATGGCTGCTTCTGAGTACACACATCAAATTTTAGTCCCCACAACTTAGAAGACTGAAATTTATTCCCTTCTTGCAAGAAAGAGCCTTATTTCACTCACCCTTGCATTTCCATTCATAATTCTATCCGTTCAAGGAGTCCCCCCAAACTTCTG